TTCCCTACAACCTGAAAAACATAGCTCCACTTTCTCTGGTTTGAAGAGCTCTGTCATTACAGTAATTGCTGTTTGTAACTTATTGATCAGAAAACAGTGTGCTGCTATGGGAACACTTTTAAATAAAATGAACAATTGTCCTCATTCTTAAAAACATCCTTCAGATATAGAAGGCAAAAGATAAATGAAGTCGAAGAAACTCGTGGACTTCAAGGAAATTAAATTTTGTCTGAATGAGGGTCACACAGTCTGTCTTCACTCTATGATTTTAATGTTTCCTGTCTGAAGATTCTGTGTATTTTTGAGTGAACTAGAGTTAGTCATAATGCCTGTAATATTCTTTTTGATGTTGATGAGTGGGGAAGGGGCAGGGTTGAGAAACATTTATATCCTAGCATCTTCTGAGAAATTCTTAGTAGTCAACAACATCTGCAAGTTTTCCAACTCCCCAGAAAATAGTCGGTCTGATGTGGTTTTTATAGGTTCACAGGAGGGAGAGGCAGAAACATAAAAGAGTAAGCTGGTTTCCAAAACAGTAGTTTCTGGTAATAAGGGGATGGTAAAGAGGTTAAGTTTCAAAGTCTGATTAGAAATCGCAGCTATGGAATTTGGAGTGATTGTCACTGAGGCTTTAAAGCCTGTGGATTTGGCCTGCTGTGCACAGACAGTGGTTCTTGATTTTTAACCCAGAGCAAAGTGGCAGCAGAGCACAAAAACATATGCAGCGTCTTCTGGGGGATACTGAGTGTGCTGGGATAATGTTCAGAATTCACCGGCAACTAGATGAGTTAAAAGAAAGCACCACAATGTGGGAAACTCTAAAGCAATCTGGCTGACTAATCAAAAGTATTTTGAAATAGTCCTTCATAGCGGGTTTTGTTCCAAAGCCAAGTAACTCCATCCATCACAAGCTAAATAAAGCCCTAGTAAGATCAATGCGATCATGGTAAGATGAGGAGGAGGTTTATAATTAAAGCCCATGACAAAGTGACCTGTGCAAGAATACAGTGTAAAGCCGGCCGTGCTTCTCAAATTCTCATGTGCACATGAACCACCCGGGAGTCTTGTGAAAATGAGGGTTCCAATTCCGTAGGTACAGGCTGGGGCCTGAGATTCTGCATCTTAAAACAGCACTCATGTGGTGTGGATGCTGCCTCTCCTCAGACCACACTTTGGGTTGCAAATGCAGAGACTTAAGTGAATGGGTTGCTTCTCCCTCTTTTATAACAGATCACGGAAATGTCCTGTGAAGCTCTGTGACAAAGTAAATAAGTCTATTGTTAACAGTCCTATTCATCTTAGGAGGGTATGGAAATCAATTCTGATATCTGTGTTGTACTTTAAGGGAAAAAGAGAAAGGGATTTTTTCATTAATGGCATCATGGAAAAAAAAAATTCAATTGAAAAACTTCCAGATTGAGTTGTGTTTATTTTAGGGTTGAAAATAGTCACGCTATTTATTGTATGACGCTCTTGAATACTGAAAAAAGTTAAACTATATCCAGTATGTTGCCTGCATACATCAGGAGTAACAGTGGCATTCAAAAAATTTTAAGCTAGAAGTTCCAGAAGTCACTTTTTTGGTTAAAACTTGAAGGACTGTCTGATTGAGTATTATTAGATTCTTAGTCCAGGACCATCCCGAAGGTATGACTGTGCTAGTTTAAGGCACATTTTTTTGAAGCCAAACTCTCTGGATTTGAATCCGTTAAGTCTTGCCACTTACTATGTACAATGGTTTACCCCTCTGTAAAATGGGTCTGCATTCTACAGGTACTATTGGATTAAGTGAGTTAATATTTGTAAAGTTCTTAGACCACTGCTTGGCACACATACCAGCTATACAAATGTTAAATATATGACCAAAATAAGTAAGACATGTGTTAGTGTCATATCTTAGTTGCCCAGTGACCCTCTGGAATCCAGAAGGGCTGTTTTTCTCTTTTTTGTTTAGAAATTTATTTATTTATGTATTTATTTGCTGTGTTGGGTCTTTGTTGCTGTGCCCAGACCTTCCCTGGTTGCAGAGAGCAAGGGCTTCCCTTTGTTGCGGTGCGTGGGCCTCTTATGGTGGCTTCTCTCGTTGCGGAGCGTGGGCTTCAGTAGTTGTGGCGCTCAGGCTTAGTAGTTGTGGCATACAGGCTTAGTTGCTCCACAGCATGTGGGATCATCCCAGACCAGGGATCATACCCATGTCCTCTGCATTGGCAGGCGGATTCTTAACCACTGCGCCACCAAGGAAGTCCCGGCCTGTTTCTCTTTTTAACAACTAAAATGTCTTCCTACAAGACTTCCCCATAGGCCGCTGGGTCAGAGAGAAAGGTGATTTCAGCCAACCAACAGGAAACCTCAAAATAAATTCATAGAACCTAGGAGTTTATTTATTTTGCTCATTTGGTTAGACTTACCTCCATCCTTTGGTTTGGCAGTTGGTGATGTATATTGGCCAGGTGGCCAAGGATGTCTTGAAGTGGCCCCGCCCCTTCTCCCCTCCTGTTGTGAAACTGGAGAAGAGAGTGATTGCTGAGTATGGGATGCCGTCCACCCACGCCATGGCAGCCACGGCCATCTCCTTCACCCTCCTTATCTCTACCACGGACAGATACCAGGTAAGGCGCAGACTCCCCTTCGTCCCGTGTAACGCCATCCGTACGACGAGGCAGCAAAGAGTTTCCCTTCAGGGTTTTCTTTTTTGAAGGAATTTGAAGTTTATGGAATAAAGATGGGGAACAAAAATTTACTGAGCAGTCAGTGACAATTTCTTTATAAATGAAGTGACCATATGATTTAGTACCCACAGCAAGTTGTGCCCGAGAGTGAAAGTGGACACCATTAATAATGACAACAGGGGCTTCCCTGGTGGCGCAGTGGTTGAGAGTCCACCTGCCGATGCAGGGGACACGGGTTCGAGCCCTAGTCTGGGAGGATCCCACATACCGCAGAGCGGCTGGGCGCGTGAGCCATGGCCGCTGAGCCTGCGCGTCTGGAGCCTGTGCTCCGCAACAAGAGAGGCCACGATAGTGAGAGGCCCGCGCACCGCGATGAAGAGTGGCCCTGGCTCGCCACAACTAGAGAAAGCCCTCGCGCAGAAACGAAGACCCAACACAGCAAAAATAAATTAATTAATTAAAAAAAATAATAATGACAACAGCACCACAAACACAACCAGGGTGTGTGGCATCCCGCTTCCGAAAGCATTTTCACCCTGAGCTGCCCGACCAGATGGCACTGAATAGGTGCTCTCATCCTCTGTTTGCAAGAGACTCGAGGGGTTTATGATCCTAGTAAATGATCCTCCAGGGCTGAGATGATTTCACCAAATCCTCCAGCTACATGTCCCAGGGCCCAGGGTGAAATAGTCTGTTCCCAAATTAGCCCCCAAAGATGTCTCTGCCTTTTTGGGGGGCTCAACCATTAGAAATAATCATTCCATATTTTCTAGAAAGCTGTCTAAATGACAGGTGATTAATAACTGTTGAAAATAGAAGAATTTCACTTAATATCTGCTTAAATGCCATTTATAGTAAGACCTTTTAAAGGTTATACTATTACTGCAATGAAGATTTACTTTTCCTTTCTGAGAACTCTTGCTCTAATTTTGTGCTTAATTTCAGAAATTTTACCTTTTACCCGTTGGAAAATTTAGATTTCATTAACTCTAGCAGTCTTGTATGTAAATGACAGTATTGCTTCTCCTGCCCCTCTACACCAGAAACCCAGGGATGTTCCATGTTCCAGGTTGTACAGAAATGGGGTGTCAGCCTGATGTGATTGGAAGAGGATAAGATTAGTGTCAGGTCCTGGCTCCACCTGGTCTTCTACCTGGTCACCTGGGGTCAGATCTCAGTTTCCTAAGTGGGAAAGGGACAAGTATAGTATTATATCCAACTAGGTATAATCTTTTTTTGTAACTTAAAAGTCATGCCAGGGTCAAACAATGTCCAAGCTCCCCAGTACTATCGGAAATTAATTGAATGCAGACTTCTGAGCTATGTCATATTGCGTGCCGTCTGCCCCAGAAGGACATAGTGGGCCCAACACTGACCCCCATCGGGCTGCTGTCAGCATCCAGAGAAGCCTGTGAATGTGCTTCTCTTAGGAAAAAAGCAACAAGTGGCGCTGACTGCAGGAAGACAACAACAGTCATTTATATGCTCATTTTAAGGCCACCTGGATCTTCTTAAAAATGTCTTTACAGGGCTTCCCTGGTGGCACAGTGGTTGAGAGTCCGCCTGCTGAAGCAGGGGACACGGGTTCGTGCCCCCGTCCGGGAAGATCCCACATGCCACAGAGCGGCTGGGCCCGTGAGCCATGGCCGCTGAGCCTGCGCCTCCGGAGCCTGTGCTCCGCGACGGGAGAGGCCACACCAGTGAGAGGCCCGCATACCGCAAAAAAAAAAAAAAAAGTCTTTACAGCTTACGTGAGGAAACGATTTTCTTTTCTTTTCTTTTTTCTTTTTCTTTTTATTTTTTTGGCCACACCGCTTGGCATGCGGGATGTTAATTCCCCGACCAGGGATCAAACCTGTGGCCCCTGCAGTGGAAGTGCAGAGTGTTAATCACTGTACCGCCAGGGAAGTCCCACAATAGTTTTCTTAAGGCCAGAGTTGTTATGTACTTCTTTCATATTTAATTTTTTAATAATGTATTCAGCTTTGGGGGTTATTTACTCATGAGTAGCTCTAAAAGTGGGTTTCTTTATACAAATATGTGTTCAGGTGAATACCAACCTCTAAATTCTGAATGCATTAACTCCTTAATTTTCAACACTTTTTTGATTAAAATCAGAGACCCAGTTAATGATAAATCTTAAGAAAAGATGCACAACCCTGTGTTATTATACTCAGATGTTGCATTGGAAAGAACATGCTGGGCTTGTACTTAGAAGATGTGGCTTTTGATTCAGACTGTGTCACTACTGGCTGTGTGACCTTGGGCAAGTCATTGCACCTCTCTGAGCCCCAGCTCCTGTTGTGAGGGGTGATTGATGGGCAAGCATCTTTGTGCTAGAGTTCAGTACTAATGCAACTTATTATCAAGGTTAAGGGTTTCCTCATTTGTGGACTGGGGCTAGTAATAGAACCTATTTCATACGGTTGTGTGAAGATACATGAGATAGTGACCATAAAGCACTTCACATAATATAGACAGTTCTCTATCCTCTTTATCCTTATGACCACAGAAGACCACAGACATCAGTACTTGAAGCAACTGGATTATAGCTTTGTGTCTAGCTCATAAGCAGAATATTTGTGTGTTCTTTATATGACTCGTCATTAGCCAGATTCCTCCAGCTGTTTTCATTACTCACGAGCAAATGTCAAGATTCAGTGAAGTCTGGACTCTTGCTTTGACGTATCTGTACAGAAATAGGCCCAGTCTTAACATGCGGCCATTGTTACCAGGCTTCCTCAAGAAGCCGGTTGTTGCCAAGCTTTATCATCACAGCACACGATGGGGTTGGACTTCCAAATTACAGTACTTGTCTACCTGCCTTGCCTCTTGGAAATACTGTATATTTCGTAAGTTTTAATCTAAAAATAGGTAGAAATAAAAAATTATTTACTCCATTAAAACTTGTAGCACAATAGCTAAGGTCAAGTTTTCTACTCTGTCTTATTTGCATGTCAATATGTTGTGAAACTTCCTTCCAGAACTATATTCCTAGGCATCTTCCCCTTCTCTTTCCTTAGTTTTCCCATTTTTCAAGTGATTTTAGATCATCAGACTGCTGGTCTAGGGAATATGATATTGAGACTAGGAGTTACGGGATCAGAAATCTTATTCCTTTCCACAGCATCAAATTGTATGTGTCTGAACCTGACCTAATGTCCTTGTTTTCTCTTCTCCCCCTGCAGTATCCCTTTGTTTTGGGACTGATGACGGCTGTGGCGTTTTCCACGTTGGTGAGTCTCAGCAGACTTTACACTGGGATGCACACAGTCCTGGTAAGCCTTTGTGGGCAGGTCTTGGGGTGATTATCTGAATAGGAGTGTGGTTAGTATGTGTTTATTAAGTTATTTGCATATGTAATTGTATTTCCCATCAGGCCAGTGAATTAAGGAATTATTATCTTATGGCACATGTATAATAATAGTAATGAATCATTAAGATGATATGAAGGAGGCTGAACTGGGCTAGACCCTCGTGACTTTGAAGCTAGAATGGTAACAAAGATTCAGGTAGTTTGTTTACATGCCGGTTTACTGATGATGCAACAGGAGGTGCAGAAAAACGCCCGAGGTCAGGGAGCTGAGTGATGGATGAAGTTCTCCACTTGGTCCTCGAAGATGTGGGTGTGAAATTGGGGGTCTCAGCTGTCCTTGCAGGGTAGGAGTCCCACCAGGTCAAAAGAGCCCAAAATCTTGAGCTTGCTTCCTTCCATACTGGCTTTGCATTTAAAGAGCTGTCCATGTTTTTACCGTACTAGGAATTTTTTTCGGGGCTTCCATAGTTAGCACAGTTAAAATTACTCAGTTCTATTTCGTAGTGTTCCAGCCAGCTACCTTGGAGTTGCAGAGCATAATGCTGGCCATGGTTTTACCAAGGGCACTATTTATCATCATAATTGCTGCAAGAAAGGTTTCTTTAAAAAGGACTAGGCCGTTGCTTATGGTGTTACTCTTCATGTGAGGCTGAAAAATTATGTTAGCAAAAGACCTCAGAGGGGGCTTCCCTGGTGGCGCAGTGGTTGAGAGTCCACCTGCCGATGCAGGGGACGCAGGTTCGTGCCCCGGTCCGGGAAAATCCCACATGCCACCGAGGGGCTGGGCCCGTGAGCCATGGCCGCTGAGCCTGAGC